ATATATGAAAGTTTTCTGTCAGCCAACAAGATAGTCACTGGCATTTACACACATGGCTTTATGTCTTCAGTTAGGCTAGGCTGAATGCCTAGTTACTCAAACACCAGACTAGAGTGTTCTTAAGCTAGTTTTTACAATATTTTGTAAATTTTCAATCAGTTAACTTTAAATAAAAGTCATTATTCTGAGTAATGCAGGTAGACATCTTTAAATCAGTTATAAGATTTTAAGAAAATAAAACCAAACAAACAAATAAACAACAACAACAACAAAAACAACAGTTTTTCCCAAGGACAAAGAAATTCTATTTCAAGACTATCACATCAGGATGGCTGGCCTGCTTTACAAGAGTCAGTCCTGTCCATCTATAAGCTGCTAAATCCTATATTCTATCTATCTATCTATCTATCTATCTATCTATCTATCTATCTAGTCTTCACTCTTTCTGATTGATGCAATTACCAGAGAAAAGACTGAATGCTGGAACTGTTAGAATAAATAAATAAATGTACACGAAAGAGAAAGATTCTCTCCAACAAGGTCAAGGTGAAACTGAGACAGGGCTTTGGGTGTTAGAGTCTCCTCCTGGAGCTGGTTTCTAGGTTCTTTCTTATCAGAACAAAGAATTGGTCAAGACAAGCACAAGGAGCAGCAACAATTTATTGAAGGTAGGAAAAGAAACAAGCTCTGCCGAGCAAGTTTGGACCAAGCATAAGTAGGAAAAGAAGTACACCCCACCATGCGAGAAAGGCCTCCGAGGCAAAAACTCAATGCAAACCGTCCTTTTTCTATCACATACTCCTCAGACTGACGTCAGATCCAGGCTATCCTAACTAAAATCTGCTTTAGAAGTCCACCTGCACAGCTTTGGGAACTGTGTGTTGTCTGGGTCCTGGGATTTTGTAATTAATAGGTCACACCTACTAGGGTAGCCAGCTTTGCCACTCTCTAATCTCCAGGTGAAAACTGTACCTTGTACATAACTGGGCTGACAAATTTGAAGCAGCTAAGAATGCACTGGCAATCTGCAAAGGACTATATTTATTGTCAAACACAAGGAGAGCCAGCACAGACAGAGCCTCGAGCAAGCTGTGGGCCTCTATGGAGATTAGGGTGGGGTGAGAGGCTTCAGCGTGGCCTGGGATCTGCCTTTCAGGTCCTTAGTGCAATATGAGGTTAAATAGGACCAGAGAGTTCCCCAGTTTGCTTCATTTCAAAAAAATCCAGGCGAAGCTCATGTTTCCAGACTCCTGGGTAGAAAAGACATCTCTTTTTTTTTTTTTTTTTTTTTTTTTTTTTTTTTTTTTTTTTTTTTTTTTCTGTCCTTTTTTTCTTTTCTTAATGGGGATCTGTGACATTCCATGGGGAAATAAATTTTCTTTTCACTGATTTATTACTAAAATTCTGTGTTTTCTTCCCTTGTAAATGCAGACAACAAAGCACAGTGGTATTTCAATCTTCAATGAGTATCACTACTAGAAATCACAAATATTTTTACATCAAAATATAGTGGTTGCAAATTTTTTTAAATGTCATTTGTATTTATTACTGCTTTGCAATTACAGTATTAAAAAATAACAGTATTTACTAGACCTTCCCCACCCGAGCTGGATATTATCATCTAGTGCATTAATAAAGGAGTACAGATATATTATAATTTTAAAATATCTTAACATATTTTAATATAATTTGTTTTCTTTTGAAATCTTCAATATTTATCCTTTTTGCATATTTCAAAGAATTATTCTGAGATGGAGTGAACATCACCTAAGTTTGTAAGGAGTTCTTGTATAAAAGCTAGGAATAAAAGCTCTAATTTTTCTATATATAGGGAGGAATTCATAACTAGGTCTACCTTAGTACTTCTGCACAAACAGCAGAAACTGTATTTTTTTTTCTTAAGAACTGTGTAAACTGTATGACACAAAGACATGTTTTTCTATTCTCGGCATAGTCATCCTCAATGTCAGGCAATAGCCCTCAAATTAGAACACGCACCAGGCATTGGAGGATAGTGATTCCTTCCTAGAAATTCCTTCTCAAGCCAATACAAGACTATTGTTTGCTTTGAGAGCGTTTGTGAATGTGCAGGAGCTAACAATGGTCCTTTTAAATATGTCAGATTCTGAAATGTCCTACGGTAGAAGTGACATGGAGTCAGTGCCTAGCATAGTCTGGCTTTGTAAATATTTGGAAAAGAAAAAATTGAAGGGCTAGACAGAGACAAGAGAAAAGTCAGATCATGCCACCCTACGACGACTTCCAATATCCTAAGTCTTTTCTCTATTTTATTATTTTTCCTTCAAGCCGTATCAGTTATTTATTTAGTGCTGTATTATCGCTCTCCGAGCTGACAGTTCTCTTGAGACAAGGGTCACATGTTTTCTGCATGGTTTCATCTCTAGGACAGCAGTCATTAGCAGTACCGGCTGCAAGAGTGGCTACATGCTTGGAAAGGTGAACTGGGGCAGAGGAGCTGGCTTTCCTTTCGGAGCCACTTCTGGTGGCAAAGACCAAAGACCCAGAGAGCAAAGAGCACCGGACCTGCTCAGCCTTGGCTTTCGCACAGTGTGCGCACAGCGAGCTTTGACCAGGCTGTAGCCCCAGACCCGAGATTGTAGAGGAAGATTTGGTCCAGAGTTACTTCCTTATGAAGGGGACCCGCGTGGCATGACACGTGCGCAGGGCCAGTGGCGCAATGGATAACGCGTCTGACTACGGATCAGAAGATTCCAGGTTCGACTCCTGGCTGGCTCGGTGTGCGTGTGTTTATTCTTTTCTTTTCTGATCCAACCTGCGCTCAATAGAACACAAAAATTGATATGAAGCAAACCTGTGTAGTCTTGACGGCAAGAATGCCACATTTCTGACCGCTGCTGGAATCATCGCTGATTTGTAAACCGAATTCCGCGCGCAGTCACGAGGTGGCGCTAATGACAGCGCGACTGGAGATGAGCGGTCCCCGGGTCGCGCCCACTCCCTTCTGGTTTGACATCTGAAGCATGGAAACCAAGGGGAAGAAAGACATTCTAATCTGGATGCTCAGAGTAAGCAATAATAGTGATCATTCCAAAAGACTTGGGTTTTTTTCAGCTCTCTCTCCCAATCAGCTACTTGTGGAAAAATCACGCAGAAGCGGCCTCAGGTTTGCATGCAACAAGCGCAAATTTTGAGTCTGTCCTTGGCCTCTGGGTGCCGAAGACCCTTTGCCTACACGCCTGCGCACATCGGGTGACGCTCGCTCTCTTGTCCCTACCCCCAACAGTGGGCGCGTCTTGCGACGAGAACTATAGCTTGGGAAAGCTGTCTTTGTAACAGTTTCCGTAGTGTAGTGGTTATCACGTTCGCCTCACACGCGAAAGGTCCCCGGTTCGAAACCGGGCGGAAACAGCCTTTTTCTTCCTATTACGGAAATTTCCAAAAATATAATTAAAAAAGAAGTCTACACCCTCCACAAGGAGCAGGTTTGCTTCTTTTCCTTTATTGCTGGCCAGCTCGGGCTGCAGAGCTCGGGGCGCTGTTCTGGGCGGGCCCGGTCCGGCGCGGACGGCCGCAGCCCCGGAAGCGCATCCTCGTTCCCTTCCTGTTCCCGCGGCGCCGGCTCCGCGGCCTCTGCCGTCCTGGGCGCCGCCGGCGGGGGAGCGGTGGACTCAGGTGGGCGCCGCGGGCCTGGGCTGG